AGGCACTGAAACAGGCCCATATCTCTCCAGCAGGTGCCCAGGCCAGGGGTGAAATTCAGCCGGTTCTAACCGGCTCAGGTGAACGGGTAGCGGTGGCTGTGAGAGGCTCCGCCCACCTGCACAGATATCATGATGTCACTTCTTTGCAACGATTTTAAGCCTCTGTACATGCGCAGAAGGCTTTGTGCATGCGCGGACGACGGTGCATGCACATTTGCGAACCGATAGGGAAGGTAAGTGAAATTCACCCCTGGCCCAGGCCCACCAGAGGGAAGGCCAGCATCTACCAGCACTTAAACATGGAAGCATTCCAGCTCTGGCCAGGAAGGGGCAGCTGGCATGGGTGTTGCAGGCAAGATGCCCACCCACTCCCCAACCCTCTGGTGTTCCTCCGGTGCTTTGGCCCTGGGCTGCCGCCTTATGCACAGGCCCCACCCCTGCCACCTGAGACAATTTTTGATTTCTGATTTCTGAATTTTGGGTAAGAAAAGTGGGGATGCAGCCTATACATGAGGGCATCTTACAGACAGAAAAATATAGTACCTATTTAATGATTTACTTTGTTTTCTGAATATGTAAATAATATATAGAACTCACTTAATAACTGCTCCGTTTAGGGACTGTTTGAAGTTACAACAGCGTGAAAAAAATAACTTTATAAGCAGTCCTTGAATTTATAAACATTGTGGTGATCCTATGGTCATGTGATTGATAGTTTTGGAACTGGTGGGCATTTACAACCATCATAGTGTCCTGCAGTTGCATAATCACAATTTGCATACTTCACAACTGGCTTGACTGTATTTACTTGACAAGCACTGTCAAATTGGCAGTAAAACTACAAGTCGTGGCCATATGATATCTCAGTTTAACAATTTGCAATAATACATTTAATTGAAGTGGAATCATAATCCCATTGCAGTCACATGATGTTTCACTTAAAGAGTTTCTAGTCTCAATTGTAGTAGCTAAACAAGGACTATCTGTCATAACAATGGCAATGACAATAAACCTGCCTAGTAAAACCTGGATTCTGTATTTCCTGAATGGAAAGTAGCATTTCTCAAAATGTTAATCTGTGGAATACATTACATGCAATGGAAAATAGGTCAGAATTTACTCATTATTTAATGTGCAGGTCTTTTCTTTTGGAATTTAGCAGATGGAAAGGGGCACAAAGTAGTGCATTCCTAAAAATCAGAATATTCCAAAGTTGGATTTTACTGAGACTACAATATTTCAGGAGTTCAGTAACGTTAAAGCCATGTCCAGATTTAATTAAATATATTCCAGGCGACAGAAGCCTTCCATCACTATTTCATAAAACATAACTCATGGACTGATCGTTTACAAGATTTTATGGGAAAACTGGGCTATTTTTGTATGGCTATAAGATTGCTACATCAGGTATACATGCTCAAAAATGGATAGTATATCAGGGTAGTACTGTATATCAAGATCTACCATTAGATCCCTGTGGCAGGATAAAGTTGTGTGCTATAAATATACAGAGGTCAGCTTCCTAAGACCATTATAATTAGACCACTGTAATAAGAAATAATATAAAACAAGCCAGATTCAGGAGAACAGTTCCTCAAACTGAAGTGCAATTTTTAGATTTATAGAGTCAACTGTAGTTCCCATTAGATCCTTGGGCCACTTCACTAAGTGCTAAATCAGCTGGCAGAATATGTAATGTCTTTGAATCCAATGATAACATAATTCAGCCTTAAAATTCACCAGCTGACAACTTGTGGAGTAGGAGATAAGGAAATCTTGGCATTGGTACCATAATTGAAAACCAACAAGGCAGAAATTGTAAGTCAGAGGGGAAAACTGAGGTGATTATACAACCCGTAAGGCAGATGAGAAGAAGAGAATAGTACTGGTGGTTTTGAGGAAAGCTGGGAAAGTCTGCAGGCAAAGCCATGGGGTAGGGAACATGCCCTGCTGTGTTGTGCAGAAATGGTTTTAGTATAGGAACTCAAAGCAATCTAGGGAGGGACAAGAAAGAGCAAAGAGAGAGAAAACAGATGATAACATGCCCAGGTCAAAAGAGATCTACAGGTAATCCTTATGGGATGACCCGGGGCTGGCACGGAAGCAACACAGCCAGAACGAAGGCTTAATTCCCCTTTATTGCTCCAACTTTCCCCCAAAAGTCCCACCATTCACTGCAAGTACAGGAGCAAAGCTCTAAACATGCACCTGCAATAGTTCCTGGCTGCTATTAGTCCAGAGGAGGAGCACAGTTCTGAGAGCAGCCGCAGTTCAAGAAATTTGGTTCCAGGGAGTCCTCGTCACAGGAAGTGTTCAATGGGACTGCAGCACAACCCGGAGCAGAACTGTGTCACTGCAAACTCGCACATAGCCAGGCCAGGCAAGCAAGGCAAACAGGACAAGACAAGCAGGGCAAGGCACAGCAAAATATCCAGACGTCGGTAACAGCATGTGAGACTGGAGAAGGCAACACTTGTTCCCGACAGGTGCCCCTCCCAATGGCGTCTCTTTAAATCTCCTTCCCCAGGTAAGCCTTATGAAGAGAAGCAGGGCACCCTCCTCCTCAGCTGTTGGGTCGCCCTGCACTTATCCCGCCTCTCCATTCTCCGTACTTGGGGATGGGGGGGCAGGTAATTGCTCATCGCCGGAGCTCTGTTGCTCTTCTGTTCCACTGCCTGCCCTCTCCTCCCCCCTCGCTTGGTCATCCTGCACCCTTTCTCCTTCACTGGCGACCCTTCCCAGGCCCTAGGGACCCGGGACTGCCTCATCTTGCTCCTCCAGTCATTCCTCCATCAGCCCCAGCTCTGTCTCATCCTCCTCCTCAGACCAAGGCTCCAATGGGATCATGACATCTTGTCTTTCAGTTCATTTAGTGACTGTTCAAAGTTACAACGGCTCTTGAAAAAATGACTTATGACTGTGTTTCACACTTACGAATGTTGCAGCATCCCCATGGTCATGTGATCAAAATTAAAATGCTTGCCATCTGGTTCATATTTATGATGGTGGCAGTGTCTCAGGGTCCTGTGATTGCCTTTTGTGGCTTTCTGACCAGCAAAGCCAATGGGGAAACTAGATTGACTTAACAACTGTGTTACTAACTTCACAACTGCAATGATTCACTTAACAACTGTGGAAAGAAAGGTCATAAAATGGGACAAAACTCACTTAACGAATGTCTCGCTCAGCAACATAAATTTTGGGATCAATTTTGGTCATAAGTTGAGGGCTACCTGTATAATATTTCACAGATTTGCAACGGGTCCAAAAGTTATTATAATTCCTCTATTATTGATTACACTGAGATTTGGTATAGCAGTTTATAGAACCTAATTCTAGTCAACCAGAAGAAAGTAGTGTTTTTATAAACATATTGAGGCCGTTTTGCTTTCTTTTCCATCCATATGGCAAAAGAAAAAAGAGAAAGAAGCTATGGCTCCTAGTTTAAAAGAATACATTGGTTGTATTCTAATGTACTACAGCCATGGGATAATTCTGAGACCAAATGCATTATGCAAAGAGGCCACCAACCTGAAGTAGGACTTGCTCACTTACATCTTGCAATACAAACATGCCCTGGCAACATATTATTTTCTGCCAGTGAGGTTGCCATCTTATCCCTGGTCCATGAATAAGACAGCTTTAAATCAACCTTAATTGTACTGGGGCTAAAATAGTGTTTTCCCCTACTGGTGTTTATATAATGTTTTTTTTTCCCAACAGTATGCAAGCAGAGTTACAACCCGCATGGACTATTGTGGGAATTCGACTTCTGCATGTCAGAGAAAGTATGTATGTATTATTCGGAGACGGTTGCATAGTGCTGCATTCATACTTCTGTGAATGCTAACACTCTGACTGGAGGGGGAACGGAACATGTTGAAACAATGAAGCACAGAAAATATCCCAATAGAAAGTCAGATCCACCAATTAGCATGCAGGACACATATCTCCACACAACATGTAATTCAGATTTGGGAGATGTGCACATCAGCCCGCCTGTAACCATCTGCAACCTACACTTACCCATCTATTCCTTCACAGCATTGGTATGCATTGACACCTACACATAGTTGTGGATAAGTCTAAACCAAGCTTATGTTATGCTTCCCCTCTCATTGCATAAGCAAAGACTGGAGTCACAGCAGTGCATACTGGTTGCTTCAGGCTAATGAAGGCATCTGCCCTCCTGTCCAGTTTCAGATAAGTCTCCTGTGCCACAATTTTGTTATTCTCTTTATAAGCACCTGGATACAGCATTGCTATGCTGTGCCATGCCATGCCGTGCTGGTACTCTTTCAGAATTATGCAATAGCAATATGCTGGTCAGTCTGCAGGACTTTAAACTCTACAGCTCTTAACAGAAGCAAAAGGCTGAAATAACAGGGGAATACCTTGCCATTAATGCCTCCTGACCAGATTATAGAGAAATCTGGAATTTGCATGGGATGGGATGGGATGGGAAGGGATGGTATGATGTGGCAACATTAATAACATCACATGATTCATTAAATGACAACAACTGGAACTGCTGGAACTGCCATCATTAAGCAGCGCCATTATGTGACTGTATTGTATAACCACATCATTTAGCAACAGAAATCCCCATCCCAACTGCCATCCTTAAATAGGGACTTCCTGTACTTTATTAGTAATGCAACCCCCTAGGGAGGATCACAGTCTGGAGAATAGTGTGAGACATCGTACATTAGGGTACTCTCATCTGAATGAAGTCAATGTTCAGATAGGTTTTATAAAACCTATGGGCTAGCTATAATTTTCTTTAATATACTTTTCCTTTCTTTCTTGTTTCAAAGCTTTCTGCCTTGGCTCAGAAATTCTAATCTGCTTTGTCCCTCGCTAGCACAGTATTAGGAGATAGACTGTTTTTTGGAGAACGTGTCTCATTATTAATTGTGTATAAAAAGAGAGATAAAATAAATGTTAAGATTCCTTCCCCATTGCAAAGATTAAAAATGATTACTTTACCTGAATTAGAAAGTCTTTCTTTTGCTCTCCAGAGAAACTGATCTTTTGATAATGAAAAAAAGCTATTACAAATCTGTAAACAAAACAAAATAACATGTTTTTTATTTACCAGTGGCTTAGTATCAAGCCTATTCACATTTGAAAAAAAAATATTTATTAATTCAATTTGTATGCCGCCCCTCTTGGAAGACTCAGGGCGTATGTAACACCAGTCCCCAAACACATTACCGTTTGGAAGCTTTTAAGCATTAAGCACAACAGGATCAGACCCAAAGAAAGCATGTGGCTGAGAAATAAAATGAGTGAAGTATTCCTTCTTTCCCCCCAGAGCCAATTTTGTCAGAAAAGGAAATTGGGATACTGATGACTTCAAAGGAAGTGTAAAGACTAAATAACATACTGCTATCAAGCAATAAGTTTAAATACCCTGAAATGGAAATGTTTCCACTGTAATGAAGGCAAAATCTTTGAAATGCTTGCCTTTTTTTCTACAAAGTATAAGGAAGTTTGTAACTGCATTCGGATGAAGCTCATACTGTAAAAGTGGGGATATCAGTATGGCACATTCATTTATTCCCATTTCTCACTAGATATTATGAATGTAAAATTTGCTATGCTAACCAAGTATCTCCCTCAGTAATATGTACTGAGGGAGATACTGAGTTAGCATGGATCACGGTTTAGGTAAATTTTAAATTGAAGATTATCAAAGCCCTTGGACTATGCAGTTAGAAAACATTGCTTTCGCAGTCAGAATCTGTAAAATAATTGCTATTCAGGAAAAAAAAACAAACCAGACAGTATTGAGCTAAATGGACTTACTATCTGACTTGACCAAGGCATATCTTTATTGTGGAATGCCAAATTTCAACATTATTGAACTGGAATGCACAAGCAACCCAAAACTTCCTGGTTATATTCATCAGCAAAGCAAGAAATATTATTTTATCTGCTTATGCATTGTAATACAATATTTATATTCTGTAAGCAAGTATTGAGTAAGAATAAAATCAAATAAAGTATAAGGATGCTTTTGTTAAAATTTATTAGCACAAGGCTAACATGGCAGTCATACCGTTGCCATGACAATGAACCTTCAAACTGACTTTAAAAAAACTGAATAGGTTTATTGTTGATTGTAGAATGACTAATGTTGGTTGCTGAGGGAGCAAAATACAGAATGCAATAAGGGTTTCAGTTCAAGAAAACACTGATAGGAGAAGATCTAAAGATCAGGGCCGGTGGTGAAGAAAAGAGAACTGTTGGTAGTGGGGCAGCTTCAGGCAGGCATCAGAAAGCTTCAATCAATGTCTGACCATATCAAGTATCCTTGAAACTATAAAATAATCCATCTCAAGGAAAAAGTTATTGAGAGTTATTTATCCGGGAAATTGTTGAAAGAGATCTATATTAGTTTATGGTGGGGGAAAAAATCAGAAGTCAAGTAGTGCTTTTTCGAATCAAGACATTTTATTAAAAGGCTTAAGCTTCCGTGAGCTGCACCTCACTTCATAAAATAGATAAAATAGCTAGAATGATACATAGTAAGATTTAAATTGGGGGAGAGGGGATTGGAAAGTGAAGGGGAGATAGGCTGGCTATTTAGATTCAGCTTACATATGAGGCAAATATAATCTACCAGCTCATTTTTGATTAATTGGAAAGACTTTCTCACATATTGAAATAGAACAACTTTATTGCAGTCATTAACCAAATCGGTAGGCAAATATCCAAAACTGAATTGGCAATATCACAGTAATTAAGAAAAATACATGCAAAGAAATGTGGCTAAAAATAATATTGAAAGCAAAGAATGCTAAGATAATTGCTCAGGCTACACACGTCTGACAAAAGAAAAAATTAGGAATCCAGGCAGCATAAACTTTAAAATGGTAACCTAAAATAGGGAGGGGGGGCACAAAAAACTAGGCTTCTAGTTGCAATTCAAGATGCTGCTTATCACCTATAAAACCGCATGGCACTGAGCCAGGCTTTTTGCAGGAACACATGTCACCGTGGTCTGCTCATCGCAGAAGATCTTGCAGAGAGGGTGTCAGGCTTCAATAACTGAGAAAGACAAGTAGAAACTCTACTAAGTATAATAGTTCTACTTTATTGCTCCTCACCTATAGACATAATTCTTGTCAAACTAAAACAGTCTACTTGCACCATTAAACATATATACTGAAAACTCTTAAGGATGAACTTCCTCCCACACGAACTATCTAAATTTTGCTGTCTTTTGCTCCTCTGGAATGTACACCATCCCTCCTGGGAATCCATATGGCGTTATACCACATCAGCATACTCCAGGTACTTTCTTATTAAGCATTGCCATTCTGTTGGAACGAGGAGTTGTGCCTTCTCTGTGGTAGTGGCTGCCCTTGGAATGGCATCCCTTCAGAGATCCAATGGCCCCAACTCTGTTGGCCCAGTTTTTTCAAGCTTTCACAACTTTTAAGGTGTGCAGCTCCCAGAATTCCCCAGCCACCACCCCATTCCACATATCTTAAAGTTTGAAAAACATTGCATTTGCCTTTCTCAAGGAACTGAAGACTGGCTGTGTCCCCAGGTTTTTTTGGGCCAGGAGATTCAGCATGCTCTGCTTGTTAGGGTGGTTTTGCTTGTTGACTCCAAATTTATTATTTGGGTTGTTTTAATTGTTCTTTGCTTACAAAAACAAAATGTTAAAACAATCCAGATAATAAATATATGAGAGTCACTTTATACAATGATTAGTTAATCACAATTAACTAATCAATTAGAAAATAAACTGCAAATAGCCATAACTAATCAGTATGTTTGCACAAACTAATCCATCACTATCAACATTTTAAAAAATGAACATAGGTAGCATAGTTGTTTTGTCACATGCATACAGTGCCATTTTCATCAATAATACATAGGTAGTTTAATTTGCATAATCAAGATCCTAACCAAAGAAAATCATATTACAAATGTTTTTTTTTTGCAAGCTCTGGGCAAGTATCATGTTAAATGTAATCTCAAAGACTGGCCAAAGATAAAAAAAAAAAAAAACCAGCAAAGCATAAGAATTCCAAATTTGTCACTCTGAATGGAGCTGACCTTCAGAAAGCAGGAGTTATAAGTGGCATACCTGTGTCATAGATAAAGTGAACTTTTCAGAAGAGTTGACTGTTGTACAGCCTACATAATTTTATCCTCATCAAGCTCTGTGTAAGAACTTGACTTGAATATATGAAATGCTTTTTTTGGAAATAATCTTTGACAAATTACTGAAGCCTTTTCTGAAAATCTAAACTTTATGGATATCATCTTCCAATTACATTTCAAGGATATTTTTAACTACTTTTACTTTGTAAAGATTCTTTTCCATTAATAAATGAGCTTATTTTGGTGTTACTAATATCATGACTAGTATTTTCTTTCTTCCATGATAATGCTATTATTGCAATAATGGGAAATGTGACTTTACTGCAGAAATATTGTGAATTTCCGATACGATAGCAGAACATTAACATATTTGTGCATTTTATCTAAATAGTCATAAGCAGTACAATATATGATCAGGAGTGAATTATCAATATTGCTATGGAATCTGATGTGATCAATCCCCTAGTAATAAAAATTAACAGTAATTCTGTTTCTGAACAGTAATTCTGTTTCTGAGTCATGCTTATATCTTACTTAATATTATCAATCTAAAATAAGCAAGGAAAAAGCATTAGATACTTCATTTAGATTTTCAACTAGATTTTATCTGAAATAAAAAGCAGCTTTTTATCTCAGAGATAATGTCTTTGCTGAGAATAAAATGGTAAAATTGTCTAATTTTGATATGAATGTTTTGGTTCTTTCATCTTTTGGGCCTCTTTGCATTTTAGTGGTTTATGACATTTGTGATCCTATATTTTTAAGTCAGCAAAACACAATGTAAATTATTACCGTAATTCCAGAATTATTTCATGTTCAAGCAGACACTTTGATATGTCTTAAATTGGCATTAAAAATATGTTGCTGTTAGGCTGTGAAGAATATGTGTTTTCCAGAGCTCAGCAAAACTGGACACAAAATATGCTGTCTTTGAGGAGGAGACAATGGAGAAAATTAATCATTTTTAATTAATTGGGATGTTTTAAGACATTTTAATTTACTTAAAAGGTTTTTTATTCATACAAAGATGTGCCACTAAACTAGAGTTACCATATCTGGCTTGCAAAATGGCATCAAAATAATACAGAAAACAATGGCTGTTTGCTGCCATCTAGTGGTTGTACACATTTCTGCAGTGCAATTCTGGTAGCTCTACTACTGTTAACGTATGATCTGAAGTTAAACTAACTCCAGAGTACATAGAGGAGGATTAGGACTACCCTTCAATACTTTGCTCTGTTTAGTTAGCAATAGGCTGAAATAAATTATAGCAATGATTACAGCTTAAATTTGTGTTGCGCAAATGGCACAGAAAACACTTGGAGGCTTTTAAACCACTCTTTTATGAAATAATTCTTTAAACATAAGCAATAATTCTCTGCATTAGAAAAAGCCAAGATCTCAACTTTGATATGTGTCTAAACAAAACTAACAAAGATGATGCATTTCATAATTCAGATAGATCTATTTTATATACTGCAAGGAAAAGTTATTTCTCTTCCATTAAAATAATAAGTGCGTCTTATCATCAACTGATGCATATTAAAAGAAACCAAAAAGAATTATATTCATCAACATTACTTCTATAAGGTACCTCTTCCTTGCTCTAGCATTATGGGGAAAAAAGTTTTCCTTCTTTCTTAGCAATAATTAAACAACATGCAAAGTCACCCTTTAGGCATCCAAAATAAAGCCAGTATGCATGAAATTAATTATTCTCATGAGTGCTTAGAGCTCTAGCATATGCTCCATTTTAGGGGGAATGGCAGATCTACAAGCACAATGAAATGTATATGTGGCAAGCATGCTACTTTTGTTAGGTAGCTTTTGAATACAGAGGACAATAAGTAATTGCTTAGTTAAGGGAAAACTTTATTTTATAATTTATAAAGATACATAAATATAGTTAGGGTGCAACTGCATTTCTGAAACTGTTACAAAGATGAGGAGAGCACCTTTTCCATATAAGCATATTTTTCATAAGATGTTTAAATCACAGAATCATAGGGCTGGAAGAGACCTTGGAGGTTTGCAGATAAAGACAGTTGAATAAGATTTTTAATTACCAGAGTAATTACTTTCATTCCTGCTTAAAAAAATAGTCATCTTAAAAAAAATCAATGATATTCTCTCAGACATTTTTATACACAATGTTTATTGAGAGCTGCAGAGGAAAAAATAGTATATTCCTAAAAATTCAGATTTGATTTATAGCTCAGAGAATTTTCACAACTTAGCAAATAATTTCAGGTAGCTGTTAGAAGTGATAAGAAGGATACATCTGAAAAGACAATTAAGATGGAAGAAACAAAATAACAAGGAAAGTCTTCTAAAATAGGGGTTCCCAACCCCAGGTCTGTGGACTGGCATCGGACCACGGCATGTGCAGGCAGCATGTGAAACCATGCCCCCCCCCCAGTCCCCACGGAAAAACCTCTCTCCACAGAACCAGTCCCTGGTGGCCAAAAGTTTGGGGGCCGCTGTTCTAAAAGATACCTGACTACAAAGAGAAGTGCTAATCTCAAATTGATTTGCTAAAGGATGCTAATTGACAAATAGTAAGTGATTCCAAGATAAAAATGAAGATGAATGCTTTACAGTAAAGGTTACAATAAAGATACTGAAGAAGTAGATAGCTTTTGCCTTTTACTATTAATAGTAAAGGAATCAGCAGCCAAGAAATATGCTGCTGACAAGTAATAGTAGCAGTAACAAAGTGGAAGGGACCTTGGAGGTCATCTAGCCTAAACCCTGCACATGCAGGAGACCTGTACTAGGGATTTGAACTGCCGAACTGCCGATCATTCTGATCGACAAGCTCAGTGTCTTAGCCACTGAGCCATCTAATTGGTAGAGTGGTAATGAAGGGTTAGAAAAGATATTCCAATGCCAGAATGTCTCTCTACCTGTAAAAATCAGAATCATGCAGGCAATAAACTTACCCTGAGACACTCTATGGAAGTAAAAGTTGGATTATGAAGAAGCAGAATAGAAATACTGTTGATGCTTTGAACTTTGGTGTTGGAGAAGTTTATTGAGAATACCATGAATAAACAAGGGGGGAAAAGCTCATGAATCTAACAACCCATACAGTATTTCTTATTTGAGGAACAAATCACTAGGCTCAAATGATCATCCTTCAAACAATTACAGTATGTGAACACCTAACACTTTGGAGAAATCTATAATGCTGGAGAAGAAGATGATGACCAGCAATAAGATGGATAAAATCATTTACCGAGGGGATTGGTGTATTGTTGGAAGACCTGACGAACCAGACTGGGGCATCTATATGGTTGCTAAAAGCCAACACTGACTTTATGGCACATCATCAATCAAACACTACATTCCAAGGAGAGCATGCTCCCTATTGTTTCCTTTTGTCACTATCACAAAGAGATGAAAAAGATAGTCTTAGTACTTTTACCTCCTACATGACTAGCTAAGTTATTTATGAGGACTGATGTAAGGATGGCACAGTCCAAGTAAGTTCCATAGGTATGATTGGGATGGCAATCAGACTATGTGTAGACAACCTTCCTCAAGTTACGGTCAGCGTTCCAGAAAAAAACCCAACTCCAAGTAAAGACGCAGAAGCAAGCATTTTCCAAAATTCTCTTTACTAGAATAGGCAAACTGGCACATCTGGGGAAACCCGAATCTGAAAAGCCCAGGTTTTCCTTCAGTAAATCAAAGCTCCCAAAACCATCCCCTTTTCCACCCAGTCGGTCACATGCTCAAATCAACGTCTGTTCCATCCCGATCCAGCCTCCTGACCACTCCTTCTCCAGATGCTGGATCGCCCTGACCTTGACCGACAGGAAGAATGCTATTATGTCTACTAACTGATCTGTCCCCGTACCCACACACACACACACAGCCAGTCGAGGGTTAAGGAAACACTTTGGAACGCACCCAGTTCTTATCTCCGACTTGGCAGCGATAGACACACCGTCTGCCAAGGGACTTTATTTGCACAAACAGACAGATAAAATACGAACGTTCAAGAAAGTCCAAACAGAAATAATATTCCTCCCAGCAGTTCCGGACGAGGCTTTAGTGACTCCAAGGTTTTGCTTTGTTCGTCACAAAAGATCCTTGACCACCACTCTCTATTATATAGTCTCTGGGGTGTGGTCTCTGGGGTGTGGTCCAGTGACTCAGTGCTAATCCCTAGCACGCCTCCTAAACTGCTGCAAACGTTTATCACGCCTTCGGAGGCGTGCGTCCAGGAATGATGTCTCATTATCACTTTGACTGGAATCAGCTGTCTCCTCTCCCTCGACCGGCACTTGAGACAATGCCAGAGGGGAGGGGCCTGGAGAGGGAGGCCTGGCTGACTCCTCTTCCTCATGCTCGGAGCTTTCTTCCTCCGATGGGACAGGCTCAGAGGGCGGGGCCACAACACTAACCCCCTCTCCTAAATCCCCCCTCCTACTTTCCCACACATGAGAAGGTGGAGCATTGGAGCTTCCAGCCTAATATGGCTTCCAAAGCTGACAGTTACCTTGCAAAGAAATTATATTATGCTTCTGGCAATGTGCAGGAAACTGGTAACCTCTTTACACAGAGGTAGGTTCCATGGTCTTCATCTAGATTTCCAACTAAAAGTGCTAATGTGGTCCTTGCTACAAGAAGCCACAAAACATCTGGACTTTGATCAAATTCATCTCCGATGCCCCCACCCTGCCAAGGTGAATTTTGAAATCCCTATTTATGATCAAGGAGAGAAGAGATTGTACTTTAATATGTTAAACACTGAAAGGAAAGGAAATGACAAGCATATGCTTAGAATGCTTAAACAAATAAGAGCAGAGAAAAGGGGTGATGTAAATAAGGATCACCTTCAACATAGAGAACCACTATTTGATTGCTGTTTTAAAACGTTCTGGTTCAGTCCTGCATTTTTAAGATGGCAAGCAAGTTCTGCCATGGCTAATTAGTGTGGTCCTTATTTAAGGGCAATACCCCTTAACAACAAGAAAAAAAGAAAACCCCAGAATCTTACACTACAGACAGAAGGGAACATTTCAGTCCTATCCTTTGATCAATATTACAAACACGGAAGTTGGCCTCAGGCGCCAACTAAAATCATCTGGGAGGCAAAAGTGCCAGCTGGGGTTCCTCTACTTGCACAGTGTGTTGTGTTTTTCAGGGATCAGAATATAAGCTGTCAGCAGTAATGATTTATCTCTCAGGACATAAGATGCAAACTTACCTGTCAGTTGCAGTATTTAAGTTGCAACTCCACCTACATTCAGTTGAATATTTACACATAAACTGAAATATTCCAAACTGGTTTTCTAAATTCTTGCTTTTTAAAAAATACACTCACTTAAGAAAGAAACTGTTCTAAAGTACTATAAAACTATAACTTTTAATTATTCAGTAAATTGAATTCATTTAACAGCAAAGGAGTCCCTGTGGATTTTTACTCTGCTAGTTGTTGATGAATATGGGGTGTGTGTGTGTACTCATCTCTGTTCCAAAGCCATTGAGCCAGCGCTGTCCAAAGACATCTCTGCAGTCTTGTGGCTAGCATGATGCCACAGAGCACTGTTATCTTCCCACCAAAGTGGTATCTATTTATCTATTCGCATTTGCATGCCTTTAAACTGATAGGTTGGCAGGAACTGGAGCAAGGACAGGAGCTCACCCCATTGCATGATGCTTTGGTCTCTAACCTGGCTGCTGGCTTTCCAACTAAAAAACCCAGCATTTTAACTGTTGAGCCACCACACTGCCCAATTGAATATAACTGTACATTTTTCATAATTCTTGGCAATAAGAATTATTTAGAATAAATATTTTAAAATACAAATTATGTGTTGCTAAATTAAAATTCCTTAATAAATCAGGTGACTTATAATAGAATCTGGCTTTTATATTTGGTTTCTCCAATTCTCATTCTAAAACATGCACTTTATATGACCAGCCCTATATCTATGGGATAGAAAACTAATTTAATAAGAGCAAAATGTTTCCTTCCCTCTGACTACTGTATATATAAAAACCAAGCTGATAAATAAATTCTTAGTTCTATTTTCTCATGAGAAGATACAATCTGAGAAGTACTTTGTTCCTTTTGCACAGTGAACACCTTTGTCATCCCTGAATATATCTCACATGTCCTACATACTCAACATCCTACCAACAAAAGTAGAGGATGTTAAATTAACTGTATAATATCCTGAAATATTGTCAGTGGCCTGTGATACATTCATAATGCCATGGCATAGTGATAATGTTTTGCTTGGTACCCTATATTTGTGTGATTGGATATATGTGAAAAATGAATTATATGAGGCCCATTCAAAGCAGGCTATAGAGGCAGAAAATTTCTTCAGGATGTTTTCATATGCAGTGAGATCAGAGGTGGTATTCAACAGGTTCTGACCAGTCCTGAAGAACCGGTAGTGGAAATTTTGAGTAGTTCAGAGAACCGGCAAATACCACCTCTGACTGGCCCCGTCCCCATCTATTCTCTGCCTCCCGAATCTCAGCTGATTGGGACGAAATGGGGATTTTGCAGTATCCTTCCCCTGCCACGCCCACCAAGCCACGCCCACCAAGCCATGCCACATCCACCAAGCCATGCCCACAGTACTGGTAGTAAAAAAAATTGAATCCCACCACTGAGTGAGATGTTTAAGAACATAAGATGTTTTCTTATGGGGTGTATTAAAAATTATCAGAATGATTTATGAAGACACAACAAGATAAGGTTTGAACAACAAAAATATTTTCCAAACCAAAAGGTGGTTCTCATAAGAAGTGGATGAGGAAATGGCATTCTGGTAGAATAGTTGAGTGTGAGAAAAGTTCCAAGAAAAGATTTGCTAAGCTGGGTGGGCTGCTGAAGTCTTGTTATTAGATATATATGGGGACTGTAGTCCTTTGGAGATATCATATAGAATAAGGTATCATGCATCCTACCTCAATTCTTCTGGAGGCCAAGCCTAAAATGACCCACTGGACTTTAAGTTGGGTTGTTATGCATGCTGCTGTGAATGCATCACTGTGTTTTAGTTCAGAAAGTGAACAGCACAAGTTGTAAATCTGCATTTGTTTCTGAGTCTCTAAATTTGAAAGAAGAACAAATAGGAACGGAGATATCATAAAGATATTGTTTATGCCAGCGGTAGCTGTTTCAGCTCTGCAGTGAGGAATATATATTCTTACCAGTGAGAAGATTTGCCCTATGATTCTCCCATTCTTTATGGGAAAATGATAGTCCTGTAGCTATGAAACTTTCTAAAATGATTCCTAAAACATTTCTTAAAAATCACACATATCCCTGTTTCTATAAAGTATTTTCCAATTGGCCTTGAAATGTAAAATATTCTTATACCATTTAGTTCTGTCTGAACCATGTTTAAACATTTGAGCCCTTATCATTGTTTCAGTACATTACACTAATTCCTGTCCTGTTTCTAAATCAGACTTTTTCCCCAAAACCTGAAAGAAGCATTCTTGATTGCCTCTTAAATTTCACAGCCAGAGTCAACAGGCATATTATGTGTTTCACAAAACGTTAAAATTCTGCAAATAGCATTGATCAGGAAAAAATGGAGAATGGCTAGATAAAAACCTTATCCAATGTCTTGAATAATTTACTGCATGTGCCATGACACACTGTTCAAATTTCATGAGAGTTTACTTTATGAAAGACAACTGCCTGCCTGTTTGAGTGACCTGCAGATTACAAATACTGTACAGTTCAGAATAATGTGTTTCTCTACTTGACATTTTAATCTTTAAATCTCCTTTTCTTCTAACCTTTACAAAGCAGATTGGATTTGGAAGATAATAACCTCATTTGAACATGAGGTGAAATGTGGTACTTAAGAGTATTGTGTATATTAAACATACTTTACATAAGATTAAAACTTCCACATAAATTCTAGTACCATTAGGACAACAGAGACATTCACAGCAAAAGAAAGTATGGCAATTGCAGATTCTTAATGTAAGCATTGAGCTCCATGTATTTATTACTTTTCTGATGCCTCAGTTTGTTTCTTTCTGGTCTTTTACATCTAGCCTTATAACTTTGGTCAGTTAAATTTAATCAGTAAACCAGAATAGATATTTCCCCCTGCTTCTAAATAGCTTACAGCATCAACAGAAATTGAACAGTAGTATTCACTTTTAATTTCTCACAGGTAGATGTGATTCATAAAGAGCTCTACTAAATGATAGAAGGGGGGGTGAGTTAGGAAGATACAGAATTAAAAAAAAAAAGTTGGCTAGGAAGATTATTGCCTTCCTAAAACAACCCAAGGTTTTTCACAGAGGATATTTCACTGAAAATCTGTTAATGAATGCCTTGTGTTTCTCCCATAACCTCACATAAAAAGAGCTAGAATAGTGTAGTGATTTAGGTACTCAACTAGCAGTCAGGGGACTAGGTTGAAGTTCAGCAGAAGCTCACTGGGCGACCCTGGGACAGTCCTTTTTTTCTTAGCCGAGCTTATCTTTAAAGCTGCTTTTTAAAGCTGGGAAAAATGCCAAGTAGGGGTATGAATGTATGCTGCCTTGCACTTCTGAATGCAAAGAGAGAGATAAATCTAACAAACTGATAAAGAGGGAAAACCTGAAACAGTTCTGCTTTGCAGAGAGTAAAGAAAGGTTCAGGAAGAATAGCTCTTTCCCCCCCTTAAGCATACTGGATCCATATTATTTAGAGCATTATAATCAGTGCCAGTAAGCTGAGTTGTGCCTGGAAGCTGACTGATAAAAGATTCATTGGGTGAGAGTGGTGACATTTGTTCCCTTTGTCTAATACTTGAATATTGTTCCCATTCTTACTACTATATAGCTTTGGGAAGTTTTAAAGCATTCTATTATGATAATAGATTACGTAATATTTAAAATAAGAGATAAGCTTCTTGTTTTCCAAGATATCATATGAAGCCAGACAGACAGAAATGGAGGAGGAGGAGAATGGAGAGTGGGAGGATTATTCCTGGATATAACAAGAATGTGTCCATCAGAAAATAAAGTTGCACTCAATATTCTTCAAGGAGTGCATGAGTCCATTTAAACAAGGCAAGCATACTTATGCAGAACCATCTGATTCTTAATCTGAATTCATAGATTTGTTAGCAGCCCCTAGCCTTGAACCAGTGATATAGGACTACACAACTTTAGCCATTGTAAGCAGTGACATTTTAAATCTTTTGGTCACAGATAAGACTACATTAATATTTAAATGAGTTAGGGGGCACCCAAGTTATTACTATTTCAAAAATTCTTAACTCAAAACGTAACAAAAAATCAGAGTCATTTCATATTTATTCTGAGAAACACTGGCCTCTTTACCATTCCTAATCCAGAAGACAATCCAACAGCAGTTACTGGGTAATCCTAGGACCAATGTCACTCATTCTGCTGCCTGAAATTCTTACTTTCTGGTTTTGAAACCATTTCACCTGTCAAGTTGAGGAAAGCTTTGGGAAAAGCTATAAGACGACTATGTTTATCTCCTCTCTCCCCCCAGAAATTTTCCACCAACTCAACATTATTCCTAAAAGCAGGCCTTACAGCCACATCTGCAAAGCGGATGTGGTACTTACCTGATGTTGCCTATTTGGGTGCTTTTCTTTCTCCCCTTTGCAAATCAAGATGAAGGATCGTTGGGCTATGTTTTGTGTGGGGAGCCAGTTCCTTCCCACGATATCCTTTATTATCACATGTTCTTAGCTCCAGCAGAAAAGTTTTTTATCTGACACTTTTTGACCGCATGTCGTGCGAGGTATTTCTTGCCATTGGCATTGTTTCCTGGATAGCGCATAGCACTATGGATCTTGTTGTTAAAAGGACAGCTGCTTGAACAGACGCTTCTTTGTTCTCACTTTGGGTGCTGAAAGCTATTTAAAAAGCTGCTGCTGTTCAAACTTTCATCTCTCCCGAAAAATTTCAGCCTGTGATGTCCTTTGCTCTGTTAAATCCAAAAACTATATGAAAGTGAATATTCAATATGAAAAGCCTCAGCTGCAACATTACTAAGGTATTCTACGAAGTCTTTCGGAACTGGATATGTTCGCATTTCATCTGATCCTTTTCAGTCAAGTCTCATTGTTGCCAGGCTATCAAGTAACTGGAAATTAATCTCTGATTTCAAAGTGCTTCAGAACTGAATAAAAAATACTTTCAAAGTACTTTGAAATCAGCACCCGGAATGATTGGATTCAAATCATTTAAAGGATATTCATAACTGAATTCTGAATTTTTCATGAGGAAGTAGAAAAAAAAGGGAGTGGGTGAAAGTCATTTATATATTAGCTTGTAGGATGACCCTCGTAAAATATTCCAGGATGAGTAATTCCTGATAATAGAAGCCTGCAGAATCGTACACATAATACACACATCTGGCATGTTCAGTGATCTGAAACTATATCTATCAAGGGCATGAGTGACGGGATATCCCCCCTTGTGCTTCTTGGCTGGAACCTGGAAGTGAAGTCAATAAAGTTGATCTGGCTTTGAAAAAGGAAGAGAATTTCATTCATTGCCAGGTCAAAATCAGTGATGTATTGCCATCTTCATCACAGTCTAGAACCATGATGGTAAACCTATGGCATGTGTGCCGGAAGTGGCATGCAGAGCCATCTCTCTGGGCATACAAGCTGTTGCCCATTGCTCTTCTGGTTTCTGGCACATGCATGCCCACTGCCCACCTGGTCTTACAGTTTCTGGCATGCATGTGCGCATGAAGACGAGCTGGCTGGTGCACATGCATGCACCAGAAACTGGAAGATCATCTTCTTGGCACATGCATGCACGCTGGGTGGCTGTTCTTCCAGTTCCTGGCACACACACACATGGGTGCTCCCATTTCGGCACTTGGTGCCAAAAAGATTCACCAACACTGGTCTAGAACCTTCCATCAAGTTTTCTAAAATGTGAAAGAGAACTATCCTACAAAGTACTGAGAACTCTTTCAGCCCAATCCACTTCACAGTGTTGCTGTTGTCAGGAAAATCAGAAGGAGTATTAGGTATGTTAAAACTATTCCACACTCTTTATTCAAGTGAATATGATCATTTTTCCATATGACTTGGTGAACTCTAAAATACCTAAAAAGAAAAGTGTTGGAATTAGCAATAGTTCTTTTCTATCTTGCCAATTAGATGCCTGGTTTGTGAACTCATGTTTGCATCTTCCTAACAAAGGCATAATCGCTTTTTCTGCCATGTATTCATGATACCATTTTCATCTCAGCCTCAGGCCATAGCTGAGGAAGCTTAAAGTCATCTTTTAACAGTTTCACTTTTAAAGCAGTTTCCCTCTTTGTTCATCATATTTCTTTTTTTTGTCATGGATACAATTTAGCACCCTTCACTGATTAAATGGTTATTGGTTCAATCAGGAATTGAGATCTGCCTGAATATTACTGGCAAGTTTAGGCTGCTATGGGTATTTTCCTTTCTGTCCTATTACTGGGAAATGTTCTCCATGGCCATTTTGGCTCCGTGGCTTTTGGAAGAAGCATCTGCCCAATGCAAAGCTTCCAAAAGTGCTTGTTAGAGTCTTAAATAAACTTCTTGTAAACAAAGTATGGTGCTCTTTTGAGGACTAAATTAACATTTTTTTTCTGACGGTACTAATTCTGAACTGGATCAGGATCAACTTAAACTAGGAAAGATATCCAAGTTCTACCACCTGTGATGCTGGTTCTGTCAACATTAGATGCTTTAATTTACCTAGCCTCAAGTAACATGAGGTTTTGTGTGGCCAAACCTTTTACTGTCCAGACAGACCTTGCAATTAATAGACTTGCTTATCATGTTGACTGTGAAGTCCAGGGGCAAATTTCATCCACTGCATCCAAGTCCATTAAATGGGATAGAGAGATGGGAAGGTTTGAATATTTGCATAGAATAGAGCTGGGAGGGACCTTGGAGGTCTTCTAATCCAGCCCCCTGTTCAAGCAGGAGAACCTATACTATTTCAGATAAGTGATGGTCTAGTCTCTTATTAAAAAACTACAGTGATGGAGCACCCACAATTTCTGAAGGCATGCTGTTTCAGTTTGTCCTCCCTTTGGTGCTTTGTAGAATAATTTGACCCCCTCTTCTTTCTATCAGCCCCTCAAATACTGGAATACTGCTACCATGTCCCCACTAGTCCTTCTTTTTTTTAGATTAGTCAAACTCAAATCCTGCGCCGTTCTTCATATGTTTTAGTCCCCAGGCCTTTGATCATATTAGTTGCTCTTCTCTGAACTTTTTCCAAAGTCTCAACAGTCTTTTTGTAGTATGGTAACCAAAATTGGTTGCTGTATTCCAGGTGTGGTCTTACTAGGGCTTTATAAAGCGATACCGTTTCCCCAAAAATAAGACATCCCCTGATAATAAGCCCAATCAGGTTTTTGAATGCTAAAATAAACCTCCCCTGAAAATAAGCCCTCCCCAAAAATATTTAAATGCAGAGCTGGAAATCAGGTAAGATGGTAAGAGTAGCCCCATCTTGCTCCATGCGCCCCAAAATAATAAGACCTCCCCAAAAATAAGGCCAAGAGCTTATTTTGGGGTTCAAAAAAATATAAGACAGGGTCTTATTTTCGGGGTTATTTTGATTCTATGCCTCTGTTTATACAACCCAAGATTGTATTAGCTTTTTGGCTGCTGCTGCAGACTGCTGGCTCATATTCAAGTGATCTTCCACTAGAACTCCGAGGTCCCTCTCACAGTTACTGTTTCTGAGCAACCATCCTGGCCTTGCCAACTCAGAATAACCCTCCTGACTTCAATGGGTCTTACAACCATATTTATTTCTTAAATTTACATGCTGCTCATCTCACACTGCAATGAGATTCCGGGCGGCATATACATTTAACAAATAAGATATTAAAGATCTCATTGTAACTTACTCCTGTTATCTTTTTGGCAACTCTTTGGAACATTGAGCAGCAACTGTTGAGCCGGATACTAGATTGCTCTAGTTGCTAATATGATGACACAAATCACTTATTATGCTTCACAATTTTATTATGAAATCACTGTCCCTGACTTCAACCATTTTTCAACAAGAATTGAGGGACGGATGGAAATGATAGGATAGTATTAATTGATGAATATGTTGATGATAATATGAATTTGATGCCAAAAACATTTATATAAGAGTAAGTTCCATTGATCCCAGAGTTTTAAAACATGCGTACTAAAATTTGTAGCCTGTAGTCTTTCATTTTCTGGCATTAGTTTCATTAGGATTGTTAGCAAACTGCCTGCATTTCTTATCCATGGCCAGTCAATTTGTGAAATGAATCATCTTCATAAAAAAATATTGTGAGAAAAAGCTGTTAGGTAGATAATTAACATAAATGAGCTCCACTCACTCTCTTTTAATGTCTAAGGAATTGATTTTTCTGGTGCACAATGCATTTAGATATGCTGTTGATGATATGCAGTTACGTGTTTATGAACTCTCAAAAGAAAAGGAACCAGAGGTACAAGATGCCTGTATTTCATATGTGTTAATTCTTAATATGCTTTATAATGAGATTAATATTTACAGCTATGAAAGATGTTCCATTGTAGGTTACACAGTGCTTTTGAATTTATCTTCAGAGGGTTGCACAGATCCAATAAAGCATTCAGTAGCAATAAAACAGATTACAATGAATTCATGAACCTAGTTTCCCTTGAGAGATGATATATTGTTTTCTTTTTCTTATGGGTTCTGCTTTTTAAGTATGCTTCAAATGTGAATCTTTAGCTCCCTGTACCCAAGGATCCAAAATGGGCCTTTTTAAAGCAGAATTGATGTGCTGAGTTTCTTTGTGCCTTACAGTTTTGTTAAGCCAAAAGAGAATTTGGGGATTGAGAGCTCCTTGTAGATTTAAAACAATCACAATGCAGATTTCAAAGATTAACACTTCCTCCCTCTCTCTTTCTCTCTGCGTGTTTGTCTCTCTCTCTATTGGAATAATGATGCAGGGAATGGATCATTGATGTCCGTTTCAAATACGTTTTTTTTTTTTTAGAAGCTTGATGAGAACTCGAACTGTTTACATCAGTGTAGGCTTGACTTTAAGCCTGTAAGGATCTACTTTTTTTAATTGGGATCCTGAGATTAATTAATTATAGCCAGATGTAAAATTAAGACTGAAGTAGACAGGTATACAATAACTAACAATGTCCTCAATTCAGCAATTTGTAAACATTACAAAAAACACATTCTGATTTTCTAGAGAATTGGCAGCCAAGATAAGAAACATAAGAAATTGAAAACAATCATCAATATAAGAACATTACAAATCTTTTAAGAAAGCTAATACGTAGGCTCTACCAGACACACTAGCCCTCAGTTCTAGGAACACAATCATGTCTTCAGGGCACTGCAAAACGCCAACAAGGTCAGGGCCAATCTGATCTCCATGAGAATGAGGTGCCACAGGGAAGGCACTGCAACAGAAAAGGTTGTCTTCTATCTCCCACTAGATGGCACTCTTTAAAGGATAAGAATGATACCATACCTCCTCTTCCAGGTAATGGGATAGGATGGATAGACATTATCATGAAGAAGCAATCCTGCCAATAACCATAACTGCTTGTGCTGTTTCTTTTTGTACCAACTGCAGCTTCCAAATGCTCTTCAAGGGTCGCCATGTAATGGTATCTGAGAATGACCTTGGGATACAGGGAGAAGAGATAAAGTCAAGAGAATGGACAGCTAAAAAGCAACTGGGCAGTGCAAACAGCTCAGAAGGGACCCTCCCTAGTTTCTTGGATTGTAAAGGGGACGGGGAAAATGTATTTTCAGACAAATATAAACCTCATGGGTTTCAGCACAAGAACCATTTTATAGGAAAGTAACAGTAGATAAAGACAAATGGTTTATCCAGAGTTATTAGAACATGGAGAGTATAAAATGAAATCAAGAGAGCAACTGGCTGCAAAGCAGGGGTGAAATCCAGCAGGTACTGACAGGTTCTGGAGAACCAGTAGCAGAAATTTTGAGCAGTTCGGAGAACAGATAGCGGAAATTTTGAGCAGTTCAGAGAACTGGCAAATACCACCTCTGGCTGGCCCCAGAGTGGGGTGGGAATGGAGATTTTGCAGTATCCTTTCCCTGGACTGGGGTGGGAATGGAGATTTTGCAGTATCCTTCCCCTGCCACGCCCATGAAACCATGCCCACCAAGCCACACCATGCCCAACCCACACCCACAAAACCAGTAGTAAAAAAATTTGGATTTCACCACTGCTGCATAGGGATTCAATTTTCAATAGTTTTCATATGCGCAGTTTAAGAGAAAGATTCGAGGTGGCTTAGGGCACAGAACTGAGCAACAGACAAAATTTGATCTATATACAAATTGTGAACACGTAATTGCTAATATGTATAAACTTTTATTGAACTGTGAAACAGAAGAAGAAAAAGTGCAAGACTATATGACAAATGAGCTAAGAATTTTGATGGAACATATTGATGGAACAGTGGGAACATATTGATGGAACAGTGGAAAAATATGTGGTTAAAAGGACTGATATTTACATTGCTGTAACTTAAAAGAAAAGTTATACAAAATGATACACCATTGACAGTTGACTCCAGAAGATTTGTCTAGAATGTATGAAGATACTTCCAATTTATGTTGGAAATGTGGACAACATGTAAGCGTCATTTTATCATGTCTGCTGGTTTTGAAAAAAGAAAGAAATTTTGGGGTTCAAATACTTATAATGATACAAAGAATGTTAAAGATCAACATTCAAGAGAAATTAGAACTTTATTTGGAATGGAAGGACTGAAATATCCATATCACAGGATTAGTTGGTGAAGATGACAGAAATAGCAGAGATGGCAAAATTAATGTGTTTGATTAGAGGAAGATCAATAACTACATTTATTAGTACTCTGGAAAACCCTTATGGACTTTTTGCTGAAAAAAATAGAAAAATGAATTTGTGATTTATGGGTCTGAAGATTAGAAAAGGTAGCTTCTGGAAAGAACGAGAATATGATGTAACCTTAGAGAGAGGGTATGATATAAATCTATCTATAATTTCTATTAAGAAGATCGGAAGCTGCTCCTTTTCTTTTGCTTCTTTATTTTGTTTTCTATATTTCTTTTTCACTTTATTATGACTTTTCTTCATTTTTCTTTAATTCAACATTTGTATTCTTATTAATTCTGTTGAAAAACTTCAATAAAAATGTTTTTTTTTAAAATAAAAAATGAACCTACAGCAAATAAGTGTCTACAAGGCCAGCTCCAAGACCTGACCAATATTGGATTTTCTCAATATTTTTAACAGCTCTGTCAAGGTTTTGTGACTAGTATCCTGTCGTGGTGATAAACCCATGTAACGTGTTTAGCAGAATAAATCCAGCTATTTAATGATTAGGTCTGTCGCTAGTAAAAACATCTATTATCCAGAATATAATCTTGGATTAAAATATTGATCGGGCATGTAATGCAGCTGGATTGCAAATGAAAGAACTCTTTGGATGAATAGGATTGAACAGAGAGTGGGTCTTTTTTTTAAAGCCAATCTAAAACCTCAGTTAGTGGCTCTACAAGCAGTAAAGAGGGTTTAATTTCCTGTTGCACTGTGAGTGGACAGAACAGACCAGTAATGCTTTTCAGCTGTGTACAATATCTCCCATCATAAAGATATTTGAGCAATGGAACAGTCAAAGGCTGGATGCCATGTTCATTATTCTGACAAATAACAAACTCGGATAGATTAATTTTAGTTTGAACTTCAAGATTGGGGCAGGTCCAATCTTCTGTATTTTTAGAAATTTATTGTTTCCTCTCTTTAGGTCTTCTCCTTCCGGTCTGATATTTTTCTCAGAATGCTTAATCACTTTAACTGCTTTAACAAGCAATTCTGAGCAGATAATTCTAAATTGTTCCTTGGGGTTAGGTTTTAAGTAAACCGAAATCCTCTCCCCCAGTTCCAGTCACCGTTCACCTACTTCGCTCCAGCATCAGTCTTAGTTGCTCCTAGTACATTCAAATAAATAAAATAAATAAATATGTCAAAATTCACCCCAACCTCATTCCCATTCCACATTAGATTGGTGGATGTTTTCCTAGCAGCTGGTGATGTTTGGTGAGAACAAAGGAGCAAAAACTGGAACAATGTTTCCCTTAATATGTTTTGGACACCTACATTTAGATCCATTTTGTATTATCATATTATGGCAGAATAGTGATTGGCAGTGAGGCCAACCACTATTGTCATAGCTTTCTGCCAGTTCAGTCTAGTGTATTGTACTTTACCTTAGACATGAAACAGAATCCAGAGTGTAGCATACATAGTAACAGATTGTACTCAGTCTTTACTATCAAAGAGATAAATTATTGAAATGATTTAACAAGAAGGGTAGTAAGCACTGGGCCACAAGCAACATTAATTTATTTCACACAAGACAAATAATGATTAAGGATACCTTTTTCAAGTATACAAGTGATTTATAAGATGTGGCTTCAGTTATCTACGCTATTATTTCAGAAGCAGTCCCATTGATTTTAAGAGGATTACTTCCAAATATAATGTCTGAGAAGTATGTTGTAAGGGCTTGCTCATATGCTTCCACTTGTGGTAATAAGAAAATATCTCTGGAGCTCTGGAATCATTCCCTGATCTTCTTTGCAAAGCTGGAATCAGTGAAATCTCTCATCCGTAAAAAGATTGTTACAATAGAAAGGATACATTACTGTTTGTGAAACAGAACTCCAGTAAGTAATTTAACAAGTGTTAAACATAAATAGTGTGAAACCTTTCATACATACCTCTATAATTATTTAACATACATACCTGTATAATTATTTCAGATTTATAAAAGTTCTGCATAGGCCTTATACTATCAGAGAAAATACATGGAAGAGTAGGCCACCTAGCATAATTTATTGAATAAGTACACTGTACTATGCTCTACAAAAGTGACTCAGGATTCCCATAGTGGCATCTGCAAATATTTTTCTTGGTTCGGATCAGTTCAGTTCAGTTCAGTTCTGTTCTGTTCTGTTCTGTTCTGTTCCGTTCTACTCTACCCTACCCTACCCTACTCTATTCTAATTATTTTCTTTCAATGTAAGTAAAATTAAATAAGAATCTATTATGCTACCAAGGAAAACATAAATCGCAAGTATAAACTTTATTTTAAAGGGTGTTTCTGAGTCTCACATATACCCCAGGAGCACTCTTAGAAAATAACTGTGACAATAGTCAGCATCTCAATGCTGTCTGTAGTGAGCCCACGTGCCCAGAAAGAAACTGGCAAAGGTAAACTGAAATGGTAGGAGAACATCCTGAGAGAGTAGAAAAAATAGTGAAAAACAGCATCAATTTACCTTGTAACAAATGACTGTTATATAACGTGTCATGCCTAGAACAGAAGCTATGTTATGAAAATGCCCATGAAATGCTCTCAAAATTCTAAAAGTGTTCACCAGCTTTAAAATATTGATTTGAAACTTTAACTAAAGTACATTTTCTTAAACCATAACTTTCAGGTGTTTTGGAACAATTGCTCCAGAAATCCCAAATACCATAGCCCATAGGCAACATGGTCAGTTAGCATAGTACTGGAGGGCTGATATCCTAACACAACAGAAGTTAGCTGACTTAAACAGAATATGAATACTGAAGAGATGTGTAATCTTCCAGTTAATCAGAGTGCCTAGCAGTTAGCACAACATCCAAATCTTCATCTCAAATGGATATAAACATGCATATTCCTGAAGATAGGTGTAAATCAGAAAAAATGTGCACAAGGCAGCTACTGCTGAATTTAGAAAACAGCTTCTGCTGATTTTATTTGTTAAATTCTCCACAATCCAAGATTGTGAACCCACTTGAGCAGTAGTTTGTGGCACTTCCTACTAGTACATGGACCAGATCAAATAAAATGTTTAATATTTCTTGAAAAAAAATATAAGATTTCAATATATATCAATACATACCATTCGTACTGGTATGAAATCTCTCAAAGTGGCCACAGCTTATATACAGAATCCAGAATGCTTTGTACAGTCTTTGTTGCAAACTCTTTCTGCTTACCATTTCTTGTGTTGTGCTTCAGGAGCATCTTAGAAGATTGACCACTCAGGAAATCTACACATACCACTATCTTGGAAAAGTAACTTGAGATCATACAGTAATTAATAATGAAAGTCAAACAAAAGATTGCAGGGCATCTGAAGCCAGCAAGATATTAGCGTTAATCTTGACTGCCTACCTGACATTATCACAGAAAACTCATTGCTTTAATGGTGCATTTATAACCTAGTGCATTATTAATCTGTAAGAGAAGCCAGTTAAAATGCAACTGCAATGGAGACTGGCTGTTAGAAACCATTTTCTAATATATTTTTTTAATTGGTAAAACGGCTTATGTCATGTCCTACTTTTCACTCTACAGTATTTGGCTGCTATTTTGTACATCACAGATGTCAAACTCACCGCATCACGTTGCTGTCACGTGACGTATTGCGACTTTTTCCCCTTTGCAGAGCTGGGGTAGGCGTGACTCATCCGGCTCACGGGCCGCCAGTTTGACACCCCTGTTGTATATGAAGGGATTGAAGTCGGGAGTGTAATGGCTGCAAACTAAACTGGAAATTATCTACAGTAATTTTCCAACAGTAATGGAGCTGCTGAATTGTTTAATTT